GGGATGGGACAGCAGGGTGGGGACCGCTGTCCCGCTCGCACTCCTGGGGCCGCTTCCCAGGAGACGGCAGCACGCGGGACTCTGCTCCCTGTCTGCAGACCAGCCTGATGCAGAACTGCCAGTCCCCCAGCAAGCCCTGGCAAGCATCTCGCATGAACACCATCTTCATCACCCTGCTGTGCTTCCCATCCTTCCTGGGGACAGCCATCTTCCTCTCCTACACCATCTGGTCGTGAGTACCCACTGGACCATGGCTTGGGGCACAGAACTGCCAGCTGCCTGGCAAAGGAGAAGGACTTGGGGAGACCATGCCTCTCCAGCCCGGACGGGACGCAGCGCACATCGTGCCTGGCACGGGGCCGTGCAGCCCTGCCCCAGGCAGGGAGATGCTGCCCAGCCACTGGTCATTGCACAGCATAGCGGCTGTTGGCCTGTGCCCACTTCTCCCAGATGTTCCTGATGTGGGACAACAGGATGACGACCCACTTGTCCAACCACTGGGGATGGCTGGGGCAGGCGGGTTCCTGGAGGGCCGGACATCTGTGGCCAGGCAGTGCCCCGGGCTATGGGTAGCAGCTGGCTGGGCTGCCCATCACTTTGACTGACACCGTTGGTCTGTCTGCTCAGGGTGCGGCCGTCAGAAACCTGTGGTCCCTTCCAGGGGCTGGAAACTATCTACAAGTCAGGAAAGACCTGGGTGCAAGTGCTGGAGAAGTCCAACCCAAACATCACCTGGTTGGCCTGGGTCCACCAGCACCTGGTGGAGAACACTTTCCTCTTGTTCTTCATGGCCGGGGGCCTGCTGTGAGTACAGACCCAAGCCCAAGGCTGAACCCTGGGCTCACACTTTGAGAGTCCTGCTGTCACGGCCCTGAGTGAGGGGCTAGGAGCCGGAGTGTCACTCCAGAGCCTTGTGCCCCGGCCTGGTGCCAGAAGCGCAGCATCCCCCAGCCTCCCGTCCCAGCTGCCACAGTCCCGTCCTGCCTGTCATTGCAGAGCCGTGATCTACTTCAATATCCAGGTGGTGGGAGGCCAGCAGAGGATCATCCGCCTGCTGAAGGAGCAGATTGCCAATGTGCGTGAGCTCTGCCTGCTGCCCCTGGCCAGTCCTGGCAGACCCGGCTGCCCCATGCCCTGGTCCAGCCCCAGGATTGCCGGATTCAGGCTCTAGCCCTGGCAGTGCTGCCACCTCGGACGTGCAAGAGCACACCCCACAGCTGCTCACTGCAGTGTCTTTGCTGTTGCAGGAAGGGAAAGATAAAATATTTCTCATTCAGAAGCTTCACTCCATCTATGAGCTGAGAGAGAGACGTGCCTGAGTCCCAGGTGAGGGCTGCGTGAAGGGGAGGGGGGGGAATGCCAGTGTGTTGCAGCTCAGCTGGGCACACAGACATTCCTCTGTGCGGGAGTGGGGCTGGCGGGAGCGGCACTGCCAGGGCCACCCTAGCCTGTGGCAAAGCGCTGCTTGCTGGGGAGCGGGAAGGCACAGGAGATGGTGGGGCGAGCCAGGCGTTCATTTCCCCTCGCCCTGCTGGCACAGGCGGCAGGGTGGCTGGCTCAGCTGGTGGCTGGGGATGCAGGGCTGAGTGTGCTGGGAAGATGCCCGGGCTGCTGGGCTGCCCTGGAACCCAGCCTGTCCCACGGGATGCTGGATGCCTGGTGCTGCTGTGGCCTGGGGACAGGGAAGGGAATGGGGACAGGACTGAGAGAGGGAACAGGAGGGGAATGGGGACATTTAGAGAGCCTCCTGTCCACTTTCAGCAGTGCTGTCTGCCCCTGGCAGCACAAACTCGGGGTCTCAGGGACTGTATCTGTCCTTTTCATGTCAAACTCCCCAGGAGGGAGCGGGACAGGACAGGACTCTGCTCACAGCCAGGGACTGGATCCGGCTGCCTTTTCTAAGCCAGAGCAGCGTGGCACTGGAAGCAGCAGGACCGTGGAGTGCTGGGGAAGATCCTCTCCTCTGGGTTGCAGCAGCCAAGGACCCATTGGGACATACCATCTGGCAGCTCTGCGAGGATGCTGCGGCACAGGGCCAGGACTGCTGTCACATCTCACGGCACAGCTTTGTGCAGGGTGGCTGACCAGCAAAGCCCTTCTCCATGGGTGGTTACTGTTAGCAGAGAACAACTCTCCCTCTTTGTAAACGCCCCAGCCAGCCCGAAGAACAGCTTGGGGCTGTTTTCAGAAGGCTTCAAGGACAGTGAAGCTTTCTGACTGGAGAGAACCTGCAGCCTCCGTTGCACTGCCTGGGAGCAGCAACGCCAGAGCCTGGAGCTGCCAGGCTCCAGCCCCGTGTCTGGCTCACCAGGAGGAGAGCAGCCGGCCGATACACTACACACAAACAAGG